CAAGGCAGCGGGGCAGTAAGAAAAAACCGCAATCCATTGGTAGCCGGCGTCCAGTTCATCGGATCATACGCCCTTCGGACGGGGTCAAACGTCCAGGGTGTCCAATACACCTTAATGACCAATCGAGCCGGTGACCACTGCCACAACCGAAAAGGTGTGTGTGGCTCGTACGCCTCCTCATGGTTGGTTTGGAATCAGGGTTTCTGGTCAACTCCCCTAGGTGAACTGCCAGTGGTTCACCAACCCGGATGTTGGCTTTTCGTCCTCTCACTTCAGTGGGAAAACACCTCCTCTAAGAGAAGGCAGTGAGCAAGGCTTCCTCAGCAGAGGCGATTCGAGACACTTGGTCCTATAGGAGCCTTTCGCTAGGTGAAAGAGAAGGGTGATCAGCCGCAATCCTAGACACCCACTAGCGACCATACGGAGTCTTTCGGAGGCCGAAGAAACCATGAGTGATGTGTTTGCTGTGGTTTCGCATTGTTCTGTTCAAAACATTTGTCTTAAACCCATGAGTTGGGCCTTCGGATAGACCTCAATGAAATAGATCAGAAGAACTTATCGCTTGTACAATACACCATATGCGATTTTTTCAAAGTGATTATTTTTCTTTGCTGAGGTGCTTTTATTTGGGTAGAATGAATGAAAAATTGATGCAATCTAGTGCTAAAGATTCTCTATTTTTGTTAGATCGGTGGATGGATTGTGGAAAACGGCAGTATCTCTTTCGCCTATAACCAATGACCGGACGCATCGCGTTCTCGCAACACGAAACACTTGACCGCACTTCAAACACTCACATCCACAAATTACGAATGTGTGAATTGCGATACTGCACACACACAATCACTCGTAGCTGGAGTACATGCGATTGACCAGGGAGCGATCACCTAGTCCCCAATACCATAAACGTACTGTTTATTCACCTGAGGTCTTATTTATTCACAGTTGACTCAAAATGTGAAACTGCTGCTCACACAGCTCGTTATGATTGGGAAATAAGTCTCGAACAAAAGCCATCTAGACCAAGATACTTTAAAAATTTCACTGAATTCGAAAAGCGGTCTTATATGCTATGGTGTTTGACACAAACCAGCCGTGTATCTACATTATTGGTTTCACATTATCTTTACTTGATGAATGGTGAACGGTTATTTTTGTCTCCTGATTAGGTAATGCATGAGCGTAATAAAACAAACCAATTCATGTCCTTACCTCTGAAAAGTCCCTTCACTAATGGTTAAGGTAAATTATTTCCTGCAATTAAAGCCTACCTAATCGCACTGAGTACCATTTGGGTGTATTCTACTAGTAGGATCGTAATACGAACATACTTCGGGCTCTCACAGTGCAGCGGAGTGAACGGATATACGCGACAGGATGTCCCTCGGCTCGTATTCTCACAGCAGGAGAGACGATACGAGGCTTTGCGGGCGATGAACGACGACGGAGAACGGCGGTAGGAAAACGGGACACGGGTTGGCGAGGAAACACTGGCAGACAGGTCTTCCGTGGGTCAGGGTTAAAGTTAAACCTGCAAGGCAAAGCAAACAAAACGCTATGAAGCGAAAAGGTCCAGTGAGATACAAGCATTCACGATAAAATATTGCTGGCGCGGATGTCAAGCGTTACAGGATTAATTACAGGATTTAATTAACTGTTCCTACGCGAAGATAAGTTGGCTGATTGGAGGAATCCACGGACACACATGGTTTAATCAACTACGTGCAGTACAGCCTCGGAGACAGTTACAGTATTGTATTGTACGGTATTTTGTTAACTGACTCGCTCACGTGTGTATAGCGTTTAGGCCATTACCAAAATTAATGAATGGAATGGTATTCGAATGACTCATTGCACTAGCCATTGATTCGCATACAGGGCTGGCTGTAGAATTAAAAGTGTAAAATCAATTCCTTTTGGACTTGGGACAAGGCATTGGGGATAATACTAAGGGGCCTAAACATTGACTTTGTGAGAGAAATACTCGATTTCATAAATCGGACCCAAGTACCTGGTTGATTAAAATTGTAAACGACATTTGACGGTATATAACGGGTGATAATTCTCATTGGTCTGAGTGTGAGCTGGTTGACACTATGGCAATTAACACACGCCTTCCAAGGGAGGTGTCTGGAGTTCGGATCTCAATGAGGAGATCTAACAAGAGTGTAAACTCTAGCCTAATGCTTCCCGAGTGTATGGTTGACTGGATGACCTGAGTATTGTGTTTTAAGGTGACTTGTGAATGGAGTTCAATTTTATTCAAAAGTACTTCTCACAAGTAACTGTGAGTGAACTCTGAATGTCACGTGTTTGATTCGTTAAAAAAGAGTAGAACAACTTCATTCTCCCTTGGAAGATGTGTACTGGGAGCAGCTATCTTTTTGGTTTTGCACGGTGTCCTCTGCTCACAAATGAGAATTACCATTCATCACTCTTTGTAAAGAGAAGTAACTCCACAAATACATAGTTCGTTTGATTGACTTCAAGTTGGATCATGTTCGACAGTTTTAAAAACTCATATGTGTTCTACTCTTCCCTGACATTTTTCTGTTATTGCCTTAGAGACTCCTTCCCAGCTGAGGCTGTTGTACTAGCATACTGACAGTATGGCGTCTCAACTGCACAATACAAATTAGTTCTGTTTTCAGTTTACGCAACCATAAATCTTGTTTTTTCAGACGGTGGTTTAGGTTGCTGTCTTTTGGCAATCCCTTTCGATGAGGGCAAAGAGGGAAGAGATAGTTCGATGAAAAGTTTCCATGAAATGCTGCCTGTAGCTGGAAAGAATTCACGTTATTAGGGTAATGTGTGGACGAATTGATGACTGTTTGCAATCACCCTAGGAAGGCAGGACGATAGTTTTTCACGGAAAAAGAACACTGAGGAGCAACACAAAGGGTGCTAGTTATTAAGGGAATCAAAAGTAACAATAATAAAATAGAAAAAATCATTCCTTAGAATGTAGAATTGGTCAAACATATGTGAGGAACAGTGGAGAGAGTCTATAGCTGATCACACCAATCACAGTTGACATGCAAAAGGGCTTTGTCGCCTATTTTGTGGCGGTTCATACAAAAGTAAGGGCAGTTATTCACATCAATGAAAAATTATCCAATTGATTTGTTTGACCGGTATTTTTTAGTTCAAATCATTGCAAAAGGTCTAAACAACTTTTGCCGACCTGTACTAGTTGTGGCGCCACCCAACTTTTCTTTAAAAGAAGGCGATATATCGCCTCAGTTCGTAGTGTCTTGCTTTACGGTTGCGAGACCTGGTTTCTCCGAGCTGAAGATAGTAATCAATTTTTTGTATTTTACCACCGATATCTGTGAAGCACTACTCGCGTGTGACTGTAGCTTCGGGTAAACCATAACCAGCTTCATTGTCGTATGTTGGGTGCTAATAGGATTTCTTTAAATGAAGCCAAGTCTTCGATGATTTGGTCACGTTTGGCATTTACCAGCACATCGTCTACCTCTCCGTACTTGCTTCGCACGTACTGCGACAAGGCTGGAAGAAATGTCGCGGCAGTCAAACCATGATCTGGTTTCAGTTAGTGCAGCCTGTCTTCCAGGTTGGGGCCCAAAGGATGATGATTGACTTGGTTATTGCGACTGCGAGATTTGATTCGGAATAAGGTTATTGGTGTGAAATTCTTACGGGCTCTGTCGAAATTACGTAACTTGTAAACAAAGACAAACAAAAAATTCAAAAAGTGTGTGGTGAAGTACTTCAGAAACTGCTGTTTTGGTTTCTTTTTGTTCTCTCCAATTGTTGTGTCAACAACACACTCACTTGTGTTCGATTTTCCCATTTCCATTACCATTGTTGCGACATCATGTTAGCTTTTCAGTCCGATATTATATATACATACATATATATATATATATATATATATAATAGGTTTCACTTTTTTAGAGTTCGCGAATTCCCATATGGCTAATACACTTATTTGCAACAGAAATCTGTGATGACCGACAAAAAGCACCAAACCACTGTCTCGTCTTTTGAGAGTCTCCTGGAAAATGCGCACTTGTTGTGTCCCAGTAGCATTGTACCTCGAAACTTCGGAATGAAAGTTTAAGTGTGATAAGTGTTCAAATCATGCCGCAACTACATCGGATAGCATGTGACTGGCTGACCTGGCTGTGGATCTCACCAGTATCGACCCAAGGTTTATTGATCTGTATTTGCTTCGCTAATCCTGTGAACGGTTTGGACACAAGTACAGTCAACCCGTTCTCTGCTGTGACATTTTAAATTGATATTCGGACATCTTAAATTGAAAAAGGCATAGTTCACTGACTTGTGTTCTTCTTACACAAAGGCCTGTAGATATAATATCGAGCATTTATTCCGGAGATAAACGGTCTACAGTCAACATCTCTAGCGAACGGCTCGATTTAGAGTATTGACGAAGTGGTTTCAACTTTTCACTTGGATGTTCACGGTTTTCAGTCCGGGGGAGGGGGAGGGGACAAAAAAGAAATTACGCACCGCTGACAATTCTTTAAAATGACAAAATAGCTGTTCGCTGCTCTTTCGCGGTCATCACAGTGATTTCTGTCGCAAATAGATAGCTTCCTCATCCAACTCTTATTAATCGTGTATCACACCCTATGATATGCTTCCGAACTGAGGTGAATCAGGCATAAATTTGTGACAGCTACGGCGGATGTGATGACCACATAATCAAATCACGTAAAGCTCATATTCACTTGTGCTCTGCATACTGATTCGTAAACTGGACTTTGGTTAACTCTATTTCCGTGACATACAATGATCCATTTTTGCACGATTTCTGTTCAATGCACAGCTGAGTCTGGCAACGCCGAACAACCGTCCTTCCTCTACGAGGATCCGTCCAAATCCAGGTCTGATGTTTCATCCGAAGCAACCTGTTCCTCAGACTATGAACCTAACTCAACCGGAGACGATTCCGACGATTCTGATGTGTACATCCGCCGCCGACTGGTCGAAATCAATGCGAAATTTGCACAAGAACCGCTGCCATCGGAAACNCGCTCCGTCTCCGGAATTTTCTGGTCCGGAACAGTCAGATGAGGCATCAGCAGCACAATGGCCAGACTCGTGGACAGAACTAGTGGAAGGTATCGAACAAGATCAACCACACACCGTGGAACAGCCAATTGTACTGGATGCTTCATCTGACCTGCACAAAGTCCAAGTGAATATTCCATCCGTTCAGATCGATGATAACACGGGATCATCGGAAATCATGGAAGAGAAGTTGTTAGGGCCTAATGAATCACAACCAGATGAAGTCACTGATTCAAAAAAGGAGAATAAAAAAGGTGAAAAATTTCAGTATTTGACGACATTTAAAATATTTTTTGCTTAGATGGTAAATATTTGGATTAGCCCATTCGGTTTTTCACAGACACCAGGCATTGTTCACAATGTTCGGTGTGAGTTTCACTCCTTGAGAGATGGTTAATTCCCACTATTTGAATGCATTCTGTGTTTGAAAAGCGCCATTTTAATCATTTGTTTTCTTTCGTTGAAAATACTACTCATTGTTTTTCAAAACGCTCTGTTTGGGTAGCCGGTTTGTCGGCGGGACAGTGGAGAAAAAAACCGTCAGTTACTATTAGCAATATTACTACTAATTTCTACTGATAGGCTGAATTATCTGATAAAGAAATGCCTTGGATATTTCAGTTTTGTTGTGGAGAATTCAGGGAATCATTTGCGTTACTGCTTATCGATTTTTTAGTTCACTTAATTTCACTTTGAACTCGCGGCATTATCAGTCAAACCTTGTTCCCTTAGGAAACAAGACTGACAAATTGACTTCAGCACGGTTCTTTGAATTGATAATACGGCTTTGTCAATTTTCTCGGGCAACCCAGGGGTCTGTACGGGTTGTAAGCATTGTCGTTGCAGAATAATAAACGTGACCAGTGTATTGGGTCATATTGGTTGCCTTATACTTCCTGTTTCCGAAGCAGGTGATCTGTTGACCAACTTAGTGGAAGTGTGACAACATTAAATGACGTATCTCTGTAGTGAACAGTGATGTTCATGCACCTACTTACTTTCTGCGCCGGTCTACTTCGTTCGGTCACGGTATGTTGGTCTTTAAAGTACTATAGGTTATTTATTTATTATGAACAATAAGACAATTTACAGTTTACGGCTTCCTCAACGGTCGACCAAATGCATACCTCAGAGATAAAAACCAAGACGGCCACATAACTGTGCAGGGTTGATGACTGTGACAATTTAAATCTGACAACCTTATATACTGGCTGCGCAGGAACGAAATAGGAGTGTGGAGGACAGAAAGCCGGAAAACGAGGGGATATCACTACTCAAATCGCTCTCCAGTGGAAAAACTGTACGGCATATGAACACCTAAGAGCAACTGTTTGTCTGTTGTTTACATCTTTCAGCGTCCTAACACTAAAAACCTCTCAGTTAATCCTGAATCTGTATGTAATTTTATTTAGACCCTAAAACCGTACAGATGTGGATTCGTTTGAAACCAAATCAGTTGAATTTCCGTGAACGTAATGAGAAGTTTCATTCCAACCAAAGTGATGAAACCAATGACAGATACCCCTTAAATGTTTGAACTGCTTGTATTTTTTTCTGATTTGTGGCTAAACCGCTTTGCGAATACTCTTTTCGTTGTTTGGCCCTTATTTTACTTGAAATGTAAACATGAAGCTTGAAATATTTTCTCATTAGCAAGCGATTCATAATCAATAGGCTTCAAGAAGTCGTTCGTTATTTCACTTAGTTCCGACTGTATGGAACAAATTTTGCTTTTTTGCACCTTTGTAAAAAGGAAACCACTAGCTGATCAGATTTCGGACGCGATTCTGTTAGCTCGCAAAAATCAAATCGGAGAAATGGTGAGATATCACATCAGGGCTCTGGGATAGTCAGGACGTAACATGCAAAGTTACTGGATGGTGTGCGTGTGGATGAAATCCAATCGGTCTTCATCGAGATGCGATTCAGAAACCTGGAATGCAAAATAATATACTTAGTTTGGTACGCTTAGATTTTTCTGCACCTGCCAGGGGTAGTCAGCTTACATGCTAACTGGTGGATGCCATATGCTTCTGTAAGTTGAATTGGTAATTCGAATGTGAAAAGATCAGTGCTATAGGCGTGGCCTCGTAGCTCAGTTGGGAGCGTGTGCTGTACAAAAGCGTAGGCGGCGTTCATGCTTGAGTTCGAATCCCACCGAGGCTACTGAAGTCTTCACACTCTCGACATATAAACTTCAAATCTGCTAAACAACAATTTGAACATTGTTATGCATCATCAACAGTTCGTTCTTCCGAACGCGTTTGAGCTGTCAAAGTTGAATACTCAGAGTGAGAACGTTTGTGATTCGTAGGGGTTATTAAAATAATTTGGATTGATGCTTATTGCGTGCTATCGTCATCGTTTCAATACAACAAGCAGATGCTTTATTCAGCCATTTCGACCAGGAATTATCGAACAGAAATTGTTTCTCATTTGAGCCCTGTTCGGAGTAACTCAGTTACGCAGTTTTGTTAAATAATTGGTTGAGAACGTTTTCAACCTCGTCCTGGTTTACCACGATCTGAATTAAGAAAATTCCGTTCTGATATCATAAAAACAACTTTTTCGAAAATTCCCGTAAACTTCATTCAGTGATTAAACGAGCGCTGATGTGACAGTTCAGCTTTCAGAAAATCATTGCAAGAAAACAGTTCAGCTGTTTACCTATAAACCATTTCTATTTGATCTGAGAAGCTGTTCATTTTTCTTCTGATTGTATTTACCTCACAAAGTAGTCAGTTGTGTAACGCATACAATAAATTATAAAAGTGCATTCACCAAGTTGGTTAAGCAATTGATTGGTCAATGATTTTATGTTAGCGCAACGTGCTTGAAATGGAACCTTTTTGTAATAACCCAAGTTGATTAATTTGATTGTCTCCGAATTCAACCTTTGTGGTGACCTCTTTGGAGTACTTAGTTCATACCAGGCAAGTATTCTTAATGTACTTTGATCATAGTTTCCACATCAGGTTGATTGTATTGCTCTCCCGACCGATGAAGGCTATTGCAGCTTATTTGTTTTCTTTTGTTATTCTTACGTCTGAGGACGGGCCCTTTTCGTCATATTCTATTCCACTGAACTGCACGTATTATTGAATTTCGAAGAGTAGTTTGATTTGGAAGCTCATTTATGTCAAACGTTCCCTCGTGTTTGGAATGGTCATATGAGATTTTCACTTTCCAATTCCTATTTATTTTATTGGGTTGAATGTTTCCAAGCCAGTAGGGCAATTTTGGTAACGGGATAAAACTGGATTATTAATCATCTGGTTTGATCTTTTAAAATTAACAGCTGTTGCGAAAAGGCTCGCCCCAGATTCTGAGTCGTTTATCAGTTCTATAAACACACCAAGCCAAGTCAGTGGTTTAGTCGCTGTGACCGGTATAATTTGGAACATATGGTTTGAGGCTCGAGCCACCGCCACCGCCACCGCCACCCAAATTCGGTCGTAGGCAGCTGTCCGGTTCAATACCACGCCTGACCTAGCGGGGCCTTATGTGGTTCACCACTCCAAGTCCCCGGGCTTAGTTCGCAGGTTTCTATCATTGAACAGTAGGTCCTCTGGCTATGGGGTTCCATCCCATCTGCTGTTGATCAAACAAAAGTTTGCCGAGTTGCACGATAAACCTCCAGCCTTCTCACATTATCTGGTTGAAAACACTTGGATGATACAGAAATGATTGCAATAGGTAGAACTTTAGGTAGATGCCTGCTCATCAAAGTCAAAGTTCTATTACAAGCTGGTGCTTCTCTTGTCCCATAGGATGTTTACACAGATGAATCGGTACACATCAAAAAAGGAGTCACATAGAGACCCGGGTAGGAGATAGAGAATGTAGGCTACAGTGAATTTCCGTTTGCCTTTAGTGTACGAATGTGAGGTGTGCCAAGATTTTGTCGAGTCTCTGCTTGAAAGATTCAATAGTGGG